GGCCTCATCTTACATTCTTAAATTACGATCAAAAAGTTTTACAGTAAAGAGCTACTTTCCCCGCTATCCTTAATTAATCTTCACAGCAACCTTGTAAAACAAATAAGAAAATGATTATGGTCCTCATATTAAAGAAAAGAAAAAAAGAAAATTCAGAATGGTTAAGTGACCTGTCCCTGGTCATACAATGGTTAAGTGGCAGAACGGCATGACCTTGGACAAGTCACTTAATCTTTCACATGTCCATTTCTTCATATGTAAAGTTATGATGACAATAATAATATCACTTCCCTTAAAAAGCGGTTGTCTTGATTGAGCAAATACACAGAGTATTTATTTATTTATACAGTGTTAGGTATAACACATAGAGTATTTAGAACGGTGCTTGTCCCACAATAAGCCTATTTACTCTGATCTGCTCATGGATATCATTCCAAGAATTGTCTTCTCTCCTAAATCATCAAATTTTTCCTCTTTACTGGATTATTCCCTTCAGCATACAAACATGCTCTAATTTCTCCCAGCTTAAAAAAAAAAATCAAACTTTCTTGGGCCAGGTGTGGTGGCTCACACCTGTAATCCGAGCACTTTGGGAGGCCGAGGCAGACAGATCAATTGAGGTCAAGAGTTCGAGACAAGCCTGACGAACATAGTGAAACCCCGTCTCTACTAAAAATACAAAAATTAGCCAGGTGTGGGGGTGCATGCCTGTAAACCCAGCTACTTGGGAGGCTGAGACAAGGGAATCAGTTGAACCCCAGAGGTGGAGGTTTCAGTGAGTCAAGATCATGCCACTGCATTCCACCCGGGTGACAGAGTGAGACTCCATCTCAAAAAAAAAAACAAACAAACAAAAAAACAAAATTAAACTTTCTTAACCTCAGTTTCTCCTCACGTGAACATTCTATTTCTGTGCTCCCTTTTGTATCAAAATCCCCTGAAGGAGTTGTCTGTAATTCCTCTTCCCCTTTCTCCCTTGAACTTTCTCAAGTAAGGCTTTTTCTCTACCAAACTACTCTTATCAATGTCCTCCAGTGGGCTCCATATAGCTAAATTCAATGCTCTTTGAACATTAGGAAATCCATCCTTCCAACTTAAAACGTCTTCTTCCTTTGCCTCCAGAGCACCACTCCCCTGGTTTTCTCCTATTCCAGTGGTCTCTCCCTGCCAATCTTCCTGCTGATACTTCCTCATTGCCTTTAATCTTTAAGTTAAATTTTTAAATATTGGAATGCCTCAAGACCCAGCGTAGGAGCCTTATTTTCTCCACCCACATTCACTTTCAACATAATCTCATGAAGTCTCATGGCTTTATCACCAATAAGCTCATGATTCTCAAATGTTTGTCTCCAGCCTGGATCTGTTCCCTGAATCCAACCTTAATACTGTATTCAACCTCCCCTTTTTTTTTTTTTTTAGACTCAGTCGCCTCTGTCATCTGGCGCTGGAGTGTAGTGGTACAACATGGCACACTCACCGCCTCGGACCCCTCCGGGATCAGGTGTCACCTTGCCTTCAGCCCCGGCAGTAAAGGTGGGACACAGGCATGTGCCCCGTACTCCAGCTATTTTTTTTTTTTTTTTTGAGACAGAGTCTCACCTTTGCTCATCCAGGCTATTGGTGCGTGGCACAACTCTCACTCACTGCAACCTCCCACCTTCGCCAGTTCAAGTGACTCTTCCTGTCCTCAGCCTCCCTAGTAGCTGGGACCACAGCCACGCACCACCACACCCCAGCATAATTTTTTGTAATCATATAGTAGGGATGGGGTTCACCAATATTGGGCCAGGTCTGGTCCTCGATCTCCTGACCTTCATGATCCACCCACCTCGGCCTCCCAAAGCAACTGGGATTACAATGTGAGCCACCGGCCCAGCTTTTTTTTTTTTTTTTTTTTAGTATAGACAGAGTCTGGCCATGTTGCCTAAAGCTTGTTGCAAACTCCTTGGCTTCAAGAATATCCTCCCACCTCAACCTCCTAAAGTGCTGATTACATGTACGAGCTACCACGCCCGACCTCCCACTAGCATGTTCTAATAGTCATCTCAACTCTGATGTCCAAAACTCACAGGTCGCCTGATCTGCTACTCCCTGCCTTTCTGCTTCTCTTGCAGTTTTCCCCATGTAATAAATGACAACTCCTCTTTTCCACTAGCTCAGGACAAAAACCCTGGAATAAATCACGACTCATTTCTTTCTTTCACACCACATGTTCAAATTCCATCAGTAAATCTTATTGACACTACTGTGTAAAATATTTGCAGGGATCTGACCACTTTCTCATCTCACTATCAATTTTATGACTACTTCAAGTCTAAAGCACCATTTACTTTTCACCTGAATCATTCAATTCCAGGTGCCTCCTATTTTTAATCCATGCTTTTCAACCCTTACTTGCTAGGGGTCCAATTTTCAGCACAGCATCCAGGCAATCTATTAAAAATATAAGCTAGTCATGTCTTAGGATTTATTTAGTCATGTTGTGGGTTAGTATTTTAAAACTCACTTAACAGAATAATGACAAAGTGTATGAATGCCTACAAGCCTCGCATGATAGAGGCCTTCTAAATTCTCCAAACTCATCCCTATCACACTCCCCTATCACTCACTGCTCCAGCAATCCAGAATTATCTGCCTGTTTCTTTCTTTTTTTTTTTTTCTTTTTGAGACAGATCTCCCTCTGTTGCCCAGGCTGGAATGCAGCGGCAACGATCTCCGCTCACTGCAACCTCCGTCTCCCAGATTCAAGTGATTCTCTTGCCTCCAGCCTCCCAAGTAGCTGGGATTACAGGCACCATGCCACTATGCCTGGCTAATTTTTGTATTTTTAGTAGAAACAGGGTTTCACTATGTTGCCAGGCTGGTCCTCAACCTCCTGACCTCAAGTGATCTGCCCGCCTAAGCCTCCCAAGAGTGCCTGATTACCAGGCCATGAGCCACCACCGCCCGCCCCTGTTTTCTTGAATTCACCAACCTTCTGACTTTGCCTGGGACACTCTTCATGCAGATATCCCTCACCTCCTCTAGGTCGAATGTCACTTTTCAGTGAGACTTTCCCTAGCTATTTTCATAAATATATACATATACATACATGTGTGTGTATATCTACATATGCATGTATGTGTGTGTGTGTATATATGTATACACAAACATATATATTCATTCATATATAAATATCAGTGGCTCATCCTTTCCTCATTTCCTATCTTCCATCTCTACTTTCTTTTTCTTTATTGCATTTATTACCAACTAACAAAGTCTATGTTTTGTTTGCTTCTTCATTTATTTTTGGTCTTCCCCATTAGGATATAAACTCCTCAAAGGTAGAAAGTTTTACCTGTTTTGCTCATGGTGAATTCCCAGAGCACAGGACAATATCTGGCACAAAAGAAACACTCAATAAAATATCTGTTGAATGGATCAATGTTATCCATTACCACCACTTCTACTACTATTGATCTCAGTTACGTAATAGCCAATAATGGGTTTACATGAGAATGAACTATACCAGAAAGCCAAATTTTGATCCATAATGAGAAAAATATCAAGTGGCACAAAATATTTCACTTGTCAGAAAAGGCCAATCTTAAAAAAGCAAGAATCTTAGTATCAAACATTGCCTGAACGTCACTGCATAGAAACAGAGAAAAGGAAAGTGGATGTACACTCAGCACACTGTAAGAATATTTGCTACAGGGCTGTCTTCACACCAGGTAAATTCCTGCTATACAGACCACAATACTTACATCATCTCATCAGGACCACTCTTACATAATGCTAGAAATAACTAGAGCTTCTCTCTGTGCTTAGTTTTCTCAATACTCCAAGATGACTTTTCTGTCTTTCTTTTCCCCCAAGAAAACATCTGCAAGTAATCTTCTGTATTGATATATACCTTTCTCATGCCCAAAATCAACATATAACAATAAAATTTTGAATTTCCAGATAGTTCTATTTCCCATAGACATTAATGTCTTCACCTATTTCAGTAAATTTTTGCTACCCTTGGTCAATGAAAGAGTGACCTTTCTCTTTCATAATTAAATAAGTGTTTACTGATTGACTAATAATATATATCCAGCACTTTGCTAGAGCCTACAGAGGATAACCAAGTATGGGACAGCAAACCTGCTATTAAGAAACCTATCATCTTAGAGAGTAACAAAGCCTACAGGTTGGATGAATTTAGAGAACAACATGATACATAAATAAATTATCTGCACTTAAAACATACAGAAATCCACTCACTCTTTCTAATCCTTACCTGTTGACTCTACGAGGCCGTTTTTCAGGCTTAATATCCACATCATAGTGATACACATCTATTTTAGGAATCTGAACCTGAAAATGATTGGCTAACAGTCGAATTGGTTTTCCAACAGTTCCAAGGCCAGGACGACGAGGTGGCTGAAACAGGCTAGCCGGAGGTCCTAAAGAGATTGAAAGACATTTGCTGTGCTTTTTTTTTTTTTTTTTTTTTGAGATGGAGTTTCGCTCTTTCACCCAGGGTGGAGTGCAGTGGCTTGATCCTGGCTCACTGCAACCTCTGCCTTCCAGTTTCAAGTGATTCTCCTGCCTCAGCCTCTCGAGTAGCTGGGATTACAGGCGCTTGCCATCAAGCCTAGCTAATTTTTGTATTTTTAGTAGAGACAGGGTTTCATCACATTGGCCAGGCTGGTCTTGAACTCCTGACCTCGTGATCCACCCACCTCGGCCTCCCAAAGTGCTGGGATTACAGGCGTGAGCCACCGTGCCCGGCCTGCTGTGCTATTTATTCTTCCTGTTGATGATGATGATGATGGCTACAATTATTGAGATGTTATTATTCACTGTACGCACTCTAAGGAATTTGGGGTGTCTTTTGACCTAAGGTTCTCTAGATTTCTAAATATTTTGCCATGTTGCTATTATTTTTAATATAACGACATCAAAATTAGAATGATGAATTCCTCTCAAGCATAGGCTACAGTATAAAATCTTGCAAGAGCATTAGTAGCTCTACAGCTACACTTACAAAATTATATGCATTTTAAAAATCATCTCTAAACTCTGGAGCCACCATCCCCAGAGTTGGAAATGATCTATTAATCTCTCACAAATTAGCCTGCATCATTATAAATTATACATATAGGAGAAGATTAAACTGTAGCTCTATTTATCAACTTATTTGCTAATTTCAATAGTGAAACAATACCAATAAAGCTAGACCTTCTCATTTATAACTTGATATTTTTAGAACCTGGACAATTTGAGATTTCTTGCTCATAAGATCTAGTTTATTCCACAGACATTTATTCATTTATTCAGTTATAACATGCCTAACCTGTATTATGGATTCAGAAAGAAGACAGAGCCCCTTCTTTCAAAGAATGTACAGTCTAGACCAGTGGTTCTCAACCTGGGGTAATTTTGTTCCCCAGGAAACATTTGGCAAATATCTGGACACATTTTTGGTTGTCACAACCTGAGGAGTGCTGCTGGCGTCTAGTGGAAAGGACCCAGGATACAGCTATGCATTCTATAATGCATAACACAGCCCCCCACAACAAAGAATTACCCAGTCCAAAATATCAATAGTTCTGAGAAAGAGGTTGAGAAACCCTGGTGTAGACAGAGTAATCTTTCCAAACTATTTTTAAAAAGAAAAGATTCCATAAGTTAAAGAAACCTTGCATACTCTCTCCCCTCTTAACATTTCAATGTATATTATCATATCAAATTCTCGAAAAAGTCATGTAATAAATAAACCTGGTTAACTTTACCTCATCATTTAGCTAGCTTTTTTTCCCCCACAGAACTCTCTCTTTCTAAGATGTGAACATCTATTAATATTCAGCAGAAAAGGATCTTGTGGAGCACAGTCTGGGAGACACTTGTTTAGAAAAAATCTGACTCCTTTTTGATGACAATATCAAGTGGACATTGGCCTAAAAAAATGAACATCTTTTCTGCTATGAATAGGCATTGAGCAAAGTGGGCTGTGGTTACAATGGAAAGTTACAACAGGTTCTGTTACTGCAATGGCATTTCACTGAGAACAAAGACTTCACTAAGGAGAGAAAACTTTGAAGCAAGAAGTTGTTCTGGGCCACACGTGGTGGCTCACACCTGTAATCCCAGCACTTTGGAAGGCCAAGGCAGGCAGATCACCTGAGGTCAGCAGTTGAGACCAGCCTGGCCAGCATAGTAAAACCCCGTCTCTACTAAAAATACAAAAATTAGCTGGGCACAGTGGTGGGTGCCTGTAATCCCAGCTACTCGGGAGGCTGAGGCAGGAGAATCGCTTGAACCTGGGAGGCGGAGGTTGTGGTGAACCAAGATTGCACTCCAGCCTGGTCAGCAAAACTCCATCTCAAAAAAAAAAAAAAAAAAAGAATAACTTATCTTACATATCTAAGTTTGACACAGAGGTACATCACTGAATGATGATAAGTTTGTCATCAAATCAATATCCTGGAGGCAGAGGTTGCAGTGAGCTGAGATCGTGCCATTGTACTCCAGCCTGGGCAACAGAGGGAGACTCAGTCTAAAACAACAACAACAACAAAAAGATGTTGTTCTGGTCCAACATCACTTAGGAAAATTAGAGCAAATACTTTATTATATTTATGGTGACAGATTACCATATTCTAACACTTAAAGTATTAAAAATCATTTTACATATTAATTATTCATTTTCCCACGATATTCTACTTATCCTTCAGAATTTAGTTTAGATGTAACCTCCTTGGAAAGCCTTTCCTGATTCTTCCAGACTACATGATCCTTCCTCTGTGTTCAAAAGACTGTCTCCATAGGGGAAACCATAGAGGAAGTATAAGAAACCACTTGTTGCCAGGCCATGGTGGCTCATGTCTGTAATCCCAGCACTTTGGGAGGCCGAGGCGGGCGGATCACGAGGTCAGGAGATCGAGATCATCCTGGCTAACACGGTGAAACCCTGTCTCTACTAAAAATACAAAAAATTAGCTGGGCGTGGTGGTGCGTGCCTGTAGTCCCAGCTACTGAGAGGCTGAGGCAGGGGAATGGTGTGAACCCGGGAGGCGGAGCTTGCAGTGAGCCAAGATGCACCACTGCACTCCAGCCTGGGCGACAAAGCAAGACTCCGTCTCAAAAAAAAAAAAAAAAGAAACCACTTGTTAGGTTACTCTGTCTCCTTCACTAGATTACAAACTCTTATAATAAATGAACCTCCTGTTAATCTTCTCAATATCTAATGCAGCAGCCATCATGTTGTAAGAATTCAATAAATGTTGAACTGAACGGTGTCAATAATCCCAGATAGAATCTAAAGACAAAAATGATAATTATCTTTCTTTCTCTCCCTCCCTCCCTTCCTTCCTTCCTTCTGTTCTCTCTCTCTCTTCTTTCTTTCTTTCTTTCTCTCTCTCTTTTTTTTGGGACAGAGTCTCGCACTGTCGCCCAGGCTGCAGCGCAGTAGTGCGATCTCGGCTCACTGCAATGTCCACCTCCTGGGTTTAAGAGATTCTCCTGCCTTAGTCTCCCAAGTAGCTGGGATTACAGACGCCAGCCACCATGCCAAGCTAATTTTTTGTATTTTTAGTAGAGACAAGGTTTCACCGTCTTGGCCAGGCTGGTCTCAAACTCCTGACCTCGTGATCTGCCCACCTCGCCCTCCCAAAGTGTCTCTCTCTCTCTCTCTTTCGTCTTTTCTTCTTCTTTTTATTTTGAGCCAGGGTCTTGCTCTGTTGCCCAGGCTGGAGTGCACTGATTCAGTCATGGCTCACTGCAGCCTCAACCTCCTGGATTCAACTGATCCTCCTATCTCAGCCTCCAGAGTAACTGGGATACCACGCCCAGCTAATTTTTGTATTTTTTTTTTTGAGATGGAGTCTCACTCTGTCGCCCAGGCTGAAGTGCAGTGGCTCAATCTCGTCTCACTGCAAGCTCCGTCTCCTGGGTTCACGACATTCTCCTGCCTCAGCCTCCTGAGTAGCTGGGACTACAGGCGCCCGCCACCATGCCTGGCTAATTTTGATATTTTTAGTAGAGACGGGGTTTCACTGTGTTAGCCAGGCTGCTCTCAATCTCCTGACCTCATGATCTGCCCGCCTCGGCCTCCCAAAGTGCTGGGATTAGTTTTTGTATTTTTGGTAGAGACAAGGTTTTGAGTTTTGCCATGTTGCCTAGGCTGGTCTTGAACTCCTGGGCTCAAGCAATCTGCCCACCTAGGCCTCCCAAAGTGCTGGGATTACAGGCACGAACCACCGTGCCCGGCCCACTAAAAGTATTCTTATTGCCTGGAGTTAAGTTATACTTCTAGTGTACAAGAGGATCTATCAATACAATTGATAAGACAATTACAAACAAGGTAACAAGGTAAGAAGCAAATAGTAAATAATGTGAGAGGTGATGAACATACTGAATTAACCCAATTAAATTATATAAATAACTCAACTCTGCATATTTCAAGATACACTTAAGCAATCACTGTATCATTCATAAAGTTGTAAGAGGCCAGGCACGGTGGCTCACGCCTGTAATCCCAGCACTTTGGAAGGCTGAAGCGGATGGATCACCTGAGGTCAGGAGTTTGAGACCAGCCTGGCAAACATGGCGAAACTCTGTCTCTACTAAAAATAGAAAAATTAGCTAGGTGTGGTGGTGGGCACCTCTAATCCCAGCTACTCGGGAGACTGAGGCAGGGTAATAGCTTGAACCTGGAAGGTGGAGGTTGCAGTGAGCCAAGATCACACCACTGCAATCCAGCAAGGGTGACAAAATGAGACTCGTCTTAAAAAAAAGAAAGGTTATAAGAAATATAGCTTTATAATAGAAATTTGGAAACAGAAACTTGGATCAAATGACTTGCTTAAGGACATAAGACTTTGAGTTTAAATGCTAACTAGAATCCAAATCTCCTAACTCCTAGCCTAGCACTTTTTTTTCCCAATATACTTCATAATCTTGTGGTATGTATTCTTACCAGAAATACTTGATATCAAAGAGGCAGAGGCAGAAGAATTGAAAGAAAACGATTAAGAAGTGGCAAAAAGTAAATATTATTTGTACCTCCTTTCCTTGGCAAAGAGAAAAGTTAGATGTATCTCCTTTCCTTGGCAAAGAGAAAAGTTAGAAGCTGAGTGATAATTTCTTTTAATAAGCTTAGAAGATTTCGTGTGAAAATTATATATTTTTTTCATTCTAGAAGCTAATTTCTTTTTTATTTTCTTTCTTTCTTTCTTTTTTTAAAAATAATTTGGCCTAAACAACAGAGATTTATTTCTACAGCTCTGAAGGCTAGGAAAAATCTGGTTTCTTTGAATTTAGCCAGCTATCTACATAAGGAAGCAATAAAGCACAGTGACTAAAGCTCTGGAACCAAATTACTTAGGTTTCAATCCTGGTCTCACCACTCCCTAACTGCATGATGTTGGGCCAGTTTCTTGGCTTTTCTGCGTCTCAGTTTCCTCATTTATAAAATGGGCACGTGTGTAATAATAATGGCATCTATCCCATGAGATTATGTGTATTCAAGGTTTAACATAAAGGCTGGGCGCAGTGGCTCATGCCTGCAATTCCAGCACTTTGGGAGGCTGAGGTGGGTGGATCACAAGGTCAGGAGTTTAAGACCAGCCTGGCCAAGATGGTGAAACCCTGTCTCTACTAAAAATGCAAAAATTAGCCGGGCATGGTGGGCACCTGTAACCCAGCTACTCGGGAGCCTGAGGCAGAGAACTGCTTGAACTCAGGAGGTGGAGGCTGCAGCGAGCCGAGATCGCGCCATTGCACTCCAGCCTGGGCTACAGAGCAAGACTCTGTCTCAAAAAAAAAAACAAAAAAAACAAAAAAAAAAACAAGGTTTAACATAGTGCCTTGCAACAGTAAATGATCAGGAAATGTCAGCTATTATAATTGCATTTGTAAATATTATAGTCATAGTTAGTGCTCAAAGGTCCCTGAGGTGACTTTTTTTTCTTTTTTTAGATGGAGTCTTGCTCTGTTGCCCAAGCTGGAGTGCAGTGGCGCAATCTCGGCTCACTGCAACTTCCACCTCCCGTGTTCAAGCGATTCTTCTGCTGCAGCCTCAGACTACAGGCGTGCACCACCACACCCAGCTAATTTTTATATTTTTAGTAGAGATGGGTTCTACTATGTTGGCCAGGCTGGTCTCGAACTCCCAACCTCAGGTGATCCGCCCACCTCGGCCTCCCAGAGTGCTGGGATTTCAGGCATGAGCCACTGTGCCCAGCCCCTGGGGTGTTTTTTAGTTGTTTGGTTGTTTTTTTGTCATTTTGTTTTGTTTTGAGGCAGAGTTTCTTTTTGAGGTGCGATCTCAGCTCACCGCAGCCTCTGCCTCCCAGGCTCAAGCCATCCTCCTACTTCAGCCACCCTAGAGTAGCTAGGGCTACAGGTATGCCACCACACCCAGCTAATTTTTGTACTTTTAGTAGAGAGAGGGTTTCACCATGTTGGCCAGGCTGGTCTCAAACTCCTGGCCTCAAGTGATCCACCCACCTCAGCCTCCCAAAGTGCTGGGATTACAGGCATGAGCCACCACACCCAGCCTGGTCCCTGAGTTTTATTTTCAGGGTATCCCCAAAATGTGGTGACAAAGTCAGATAACAGGATTCTCTGAAAGGGTAACTGATATGACTTAACATAGAACAGATGAAGTCAGCCTTAATGAAGAGGAGATGATTAGAAGTTCAAACTCTGGTCTTTATTCCACCATTTGGCCTTTTGAAACCCTAATGAAGTCACTTCATCCTCTCTGAATCTCACTTTTCTCATCTGTAAAATGGAATAGCTACCTGCCTTGCCTACCTCCCAGAGGATTAAATGACCTAATAGTTATAAAGGCACTTTACAAACTGTAAAGTACTGCAAACAACATATTACCAAAATAAGTGGTAATCTAATTAATTATATTTCTGAGTATTGGCAGAAACTGAAACAGGTTGCGGGGAGGTGGTGGCGGGGGGGCGGACAGAATAAGACTAGACTAAGGTTTCAGGGACTGTTCAAGTGAGGAGGGCACAAAGCACTAGATCCAGGTGTGCTCTGCCAGAGAAGCAGGGATGATTCTCCAGGTTCTAAAACAGCCTGGATGAATCATCCCACAGGACGATCAACTCCCTTTGCTCTGATTCTATGCTTAGCAGGCAGCTACTTATTAGTTGAGTTTCCAAGGTACTGCAGCACCAAAAAAGGAGTTTGCTAGAGAGCAGACAGGAAAATATTCCACTCAACAGAAAAGATCTATGTGACATTTTGGCTTATTCATTAGTGTCTTATAAATATAGTTAGTGAGAATTAATTTTCCACAATCTGAACAATCCTGAGTGAACCACTAAATCCTCAAACCTGCAAAAGCTAAAATCAAACAAACAAACAAAAAAGAGTCCCTGGGCAGTGCCTAACATCACCAGGTTATCCTTTCCATGAAATTCAGTTTATGCCCACAGTTACACAGTTTCTTTTGATATCAGCTCATAAATGCAACAGTTGTTTCAATTATGAATTACTAGGGGGAGGGAAGAAACATTTGTTGAGCATCTATAGGCACTAGTCTCTGTAGTAAGACTTCTCGTATACTCTCATTCTCTCAACAATCTTACAGAACATAATTATTATTACCCTCAATTTAGAGATGAGAAAATGAAAGTTCAAAGGAATTAAGTAATTTGCCCCGGGTCATACAACTCTTACATTACTATATTGAATTTGAACAGAAGTCTGTTACATTCCTAAAGACCTGATCATATCTTTAGCCAGGGGACATATCTGAAGTTAACCTGGCATAATACACTGAAGTTTATCAAATAATATTAATGCGGCAAGCCAATTTATTTTTAAAAGGCATATGAAATTTGATTATGAGGGCCTTTAAACAATACTTGAAGAAGCAAATTAGGGTGGAG